GGACAACAGTGCACAGCCCAACACAAGCAGGACAACAGTGCACAGCCTAACACAAGCAGGACAACAGTGCACAGCCCAACACAAGCAGGACAACAGTGCACAGCCCAACACAAGCAGGACAACAGTGCACAGCCTAACACAAGCAGGACAACAGTGCACAGCCCAAAACAAGCAGGTCAACAGTGCACAGCCCAACACAAGCAGGTAAACAGTGCACAGCCCAACACAAGCAGGACAACAGTGCACAGCCCAACACAAGCAGGACAACAGTGCACAGCCCAACACAAGCAGGCCAACAGTGCACAGCCCAACACAAGCAGGTCAACAGTGCACAGCCCAACACAAGCAGGTCAATAGTGCACAGCCCAACACGAGCAGGTCAACAGTGCACAGCCCAACACAAGCAGGACAGCAGTGCACAGCCCAACACAGGCAGGTCAACAGTGCACAGCCCAACACAAGCAGGACAACAGTGCACAGCCCGACACAAGCAGGACAACAGTGCACAGCCCAACACAAGCAGGTCAACAGTGCACAGCCCAACACAAGCAGGACAACAGTGCACAGCCCAACACAAGCAGGACAACAGTGCACAGCCCAACACAAGCAGGACAACAGTGCACAGCCCAACACAAGCAGGACAACAGTGCACAGCCCGACACAAGCAGGACAATAGTGCACAGCCCAACACAAGCAGGACAACAGTGCACAGCCCAAAAAAAGCCGGACAACAGTGCACAGCCCAACACAAGCAGGACAACAGTGCACAGCCCAACACAAGCAGGACAACAGTGCACAGCCCAACACAAGCAGGACAACAGTGCACAGTCCAACACAAGCAGGTCAACAGTGCACAGCCCAACACAAGCAGGTCAACAGTGCACAGCCCAACACAAGCAGGACAACAGTGCACAGCCCAAAACAAGCAGGACAACAGTGCACAGCCCAACACAAGCAGGACAACAGTGCACAGCCCAACACAAGCAGGTCAACAGTGCACAGCCCAACATAAGCAGGACAACAGTGCACAGCCCAACACAAGCAGGTCAACAGTGCACAGCCCAACACAAGCAGGACAACAGTGCACAGCCCAACACAAGCAGGTCAACAGTGCACAGCCCAACACAAGCAGGTCAACAGTGCACAGCCCGACACAAGCAGGACAACAGTGCACAGACCAACACAAGCAGGACAACAGTGCACAGCCCAACACAAGCAGGTCAACAGTGCACAGCCCAACACAAGCAGGTCAACAGTGCACAGCCCTACACAAGCAGGTCAACAATGCACAGCCCAACACAAACAGGTCAACAGTGCACAGCCCAACACAAGCAGGACAACAGTGCACAGCCCAACACAAGCAGGTCAACAGTGCACAGCCCAACACAAGCAGGACAACAGTGCACAGCCCAACACAAGCAGGACAACAGTGCACAGCCCAACACAAGCAGGTCAACAGTGCACAGCCCAACACAAGCAGGACAACAGTGCACAGCCCAACACAAGCAGGACAACAGTGCACAGCCCAACACAAGCAGGACAACAGTGCACAGTCCAACACAAGCAGGTCATCAGTGCACAGCCCAACACAAGCAGGTCAACAGTGCACAGCCCAACACAAGCAGGACAACAGTGCACAGCCCAACACATGCAGGACAACAGTGCACAGCCCAACACAAGCAGGACAACAGTGCACAGCCCAACACAAGCAGGTCAACAGTGCACAGCCCAACATAAGCAGGTCAACAGTGCACAGCCCAACATAAGCAGGACAACAGTGCACAGCCCAACACAAGCAGGTCAACAGTGCACAGCCCAACACAAGCAGGACAACAGTGCACAGCCCAACACAAGCAGGTCAACAGTGCACAGCCCAACACAAGCAGGTCAACAGTGCACAGCCCGACACAAGCAGGTCAACAGTGCACAGCCCAACACAAGCAGGTCAACAATGCACAGCCCAACACAAACAGGACAACAGTGCACAGACCAACACAAGCAGGACAACAGTGCACAGCCCAACACAAGCAGGTCAACAGTGCACAGCCCAACACAAGCAGGTCAACAGTGCACAGCCAAACACAAGCAGGTCAACAATGCACAGCCCAACACAAACAGGTCAACAGTGCACAGCCCAACACAAGCAGGCCAACAGTGCACAGCCCAACACAAGCAGGTCAACAGTGCACAGCCCAGCACAAGCAGGACAACAGTGCACAGCCCAACACAAGCAGGACAACAGTGCACACCCCAACACAAGCAGGACAACAGTGCACAGCCCAACACAAGCAGGTGAACAGTGCACAGCCCAACACAAGCAGGACAGCAGTGCACAGCCCAACACAAGCAGGTCAACAGTGCACAGCCCAACACAAGCAGGACAACAGTGCACAGCCCAACACAAGCAGGACAACAATGCACAGCCCAACACAAGCAGGACAACAGTGCACAGCCCAACACAAGCAGGTCAACAGTGCACAGCCCAACACAAGCAGGACAACAGTGCACATCCCAACACAAGCAGGTCAACAGTGCACAGCCCAACACAAGCAGGACAACAGTGCACAGCCCAACACAAGCAGGTCAACAGTGCACAGCCCAACACAAGCAGGACAACAGTGCACAGCCCAACACAAGCAGGACAACAGTGCACAGCCCAACACAAGCAGGACAGCAGTGCACAGCCCGACACAAGCAGGTCAACAGTGCACAGCCCAACACAAGCAGGTCAACAGTGCACAGCCCAACACAAGCAGGTCAACAGTGCCCAGCCTAACACAAGCAGGTCAACAATGCACAGCCCAACACAAACAGGTCAACAGTGCACAGCCCAACACAAGCAGGCCAACAGTGCACAGCCCAACACAAGCAGGTCAACAGTGCACAGCCCAACACAAGCAGGACAACAGTGCACAGCCCAACACAAGCAGGACAACAGTGCACAGCCCAACACAAGCAGGACAACAGTGCACAGCCCAACACAAGCAGGACAACAGTGCACAGCCCAACACAAGCAGGACAACAGTGCACAGCCCAACACAAGCAGGTCAACAGTGCACAGCCCAACACAAGCAGGACAACAGTGCACAGCCCAACACAAGCAGGACAACAGTGCACAGCCCAACACAAGCAGGACAACAGTGCACAGCCCAACACAAGCAGGACAACAGTGCACAGTCCAACACAAGCAGGTCAACAGTGCACAGCCCAACACAAGCAGGACAACAGTGCACAGCCCAACACAAGCAGGACAACAGTGCACAGCCCAACACAAGCAGGTCAACAGTGCACAGCCCAACATAAGCAGGACAACAGTGCACAGCCCAACACAAGCAGGTCAACAGTGCACAGCCCAACACAAGCAGGACAACAGTGCACAGCCCAACACAAGCAGGTCAACAGTACACAGCCCAACACAAGCAGGTCAACAGTGCACAGCCCGACACAAGCAGGACAACAGTGCACAGACCAACACAAGCAGGACAACAGTGCACAGCCCAACACAAGCAGGTCAACAGTGCACAGCCCAACACAAGCAGGTCAACAGTGCACAGCCCAACACAAGCAGGTCAACAATGCACAGCCCAACACAAACAGGTCAACAGTGCACAGCCCAACACAAGCAGGCCAACAGTGCACAGCCCAACACAAGCAGGTCAACAGTGCACAGCCCAACACAAGCAGGACAACAGTGCACAGCCCAACACAAGCAGGACAACAGTGCATAGCCCAACACAAGCAGGACAACAGTGCACAGCCCAACACAAGCAGGACAACAGTGCACAGCCCAACACAAGCAGGTCAACAGTGCACAGCCCAACACAAGCAGGTCAACAGTGCACAGCCCAACACAAGCAGGTCAACAGTGCACAGCCCAACACAAGCAGGACAACAGTGCACAGCCCAACACAAGCAGGACAACAGTGCACAGCCCAACACAAGCAGGACAACAGTGCACAGCCCAACACAAGCAGGTCAACAGTGCACAGCCCAACACAAGCAGGACAACAGTGCACATCCCAACACAAGCAGGTCAACAGTGCACAGCCCAACACAAGCAGGACAACAGTGCACAGCCCAACACAAGCAGGTCAACAGTGCACAGCCCAATACAAGCAGGTCAACAGTGCACAGCCCAACACAAGCAGGACAGCAGTGCACAGCCCGACACAAGCAGGTCAACAGTGCACAGCCCAACACAAGCAGGTCAACAGTGCACAGCCCAACACAAGCAGGTCAACAGTGCACAGCCCAACACAAGCAGGTCAACAGTGCACAGCCCAACACAAGCAGGAAAACAGTGCACAGCTCAACACAAGCAGGACAACAGTGCACAGCCCAACACAAGCAGGACAACAGTGCACAGCCCAACACAAGCAGGACAACAGTGCACAGCCCAACTCAAGCAGCACAACAGCGCACAGCCCAACACAAGCAGCACAACAGTGCACAGCCCAACACAAGCAGCACAACAGTGCACAGCCCAACACAAGCAGCACAACAGTGCACAGCCCAACACAAGCAGGACAACAGTGCACAGCCCAACACAAGCAGGTCAACAGTGCACAGCCCAATACAAGCAGGTCAACAGTGCACAGCCCAACACAAGCAGGTCAACAGTGCACAGCCCAACACAAGCAGGACAACAGTGCACAGCCCAACACAAGCAGGACAACAGTGCACAGCCCAACACAAGCAGGACAACAGTGCACAGCCCAACACAAGCAGGACAACAGTGCACAGCCCAACTCAAGCAGCACAACAGTGCACAGCCCAACACAAGCAGCACAACAGTGCACAGCCCAACACAAGCAGCACAACAGTGCACAGCCCAACACAAGCAGCACAACAGTGCACAGCCCAACACAAGCAGCACAACAGTGCACAGCCCAACACAAGCAGCACAACAGTGCACAGCCCAACACAAGCAGCACAACAGTGCACAGCCCAACACAAGCAGGACAACAGTGCACTCTTTACTGTTTAGAGGCTGTACTTACCACTACCACCTTTGAAAAGTACCTCCCGTGTCATCATCTCCGCCAAGATGCAACCAACCGACCATAGATCCACTGGACAGACAGACAGACGGATGGACAGACAGACAGACAGATAGACAGACATACATAAGAAAAGTGACTGGATCATTGCACAGAAGCACAGAAGTGATCACGACTGAGCTGGCGTTTCGATACCTCCTAAGAAGCGCAACAAGAACCTTGAAGTGTTCCTAAAGTGTTAGGTAGGGACGATGAGCGGGAATTGGAAGATTTTTTTAATTCTGAGGGATGCCTCACGCAGCTCCATTCCTGACAATGGTCATGCAGACCGAAACGTTGAAATAATCACATGATGAGTGTGTGGACTGCAGTGCCTGTTTGAGTGTAGGCAAGTTGATAGGCGACTCTTGAAGCACTACCAGAATTCTCACTTTGACAAAATCATGGATAAAAGTCTGCAAACAGCATACAGGAACCATGAAACTGACACTGAGAGAGAGAGAGAGAGAGAGAGAGAGAGAGAGAGAGAGAGAGAGAGAGAGAGAGAGAGAGAGAGAGAGAGAGAGAGAGAGAGAGAGAGAGAGAGAGAGAGAGAGAGAGAGAGAGAGAGAGAGAGAGAGAGAGAGAGAGAGAGAGAGAGAGAGAGAGAGAGGGGGAGAGAGAGAGAGAGATAAATAGAGAGAGAGATAAATAAATAGAGAGAGAGAGAGAGAGAGAGAGAGAGAGAGAGAGAAAGAGAGGAGAGCACTTGCACTGACGCTGACTAACTTTTTCCGGTGTTTCCGTAGTGCTCCCACTGGAGCATGACTTCTGGTGCCCGATACCAGCGTGTAGCCACGTAGCCGGTCATGCATGCGTTGTCACTGGAGCTCTTGATACGCGCCAGGCCAAAGTCAAGAATCTGCAGCACATTGTCACCATCACCATTAGGCACACAAGAAACGCACGTTTAAAGCAATTTCATTCAGCTAAATCCCACATTTACCATCCTTATGACTGTAAAGAGAAAAGTACCTATAAGTTACTAGTTATGACTAACAGTCCACCAAAGGTAAGGAGATAATATTCAGTCAGATAGTGCGACAGCAAGGCACAAAACTGGCAAGGATATTGAGACATTCGACAACCTGACACCTAGTTCCAACTTCCAACACATGGTGTGGGAAATTTATTGAAATACCAGTAACCCCACTACAAATTGTCAGGAAACAGAAGCAGTGGAAGTGAAATAACAAGCGACTGCTAACAGTTAACATCTTGGAGAAAGTGCTATATACCTTGACAACCAGTCCTTCGTTGAGAGCAATGTTGCTGGGCTTCAAGTCCTGTACAGACAGCACAAAGAATATGGAGCATGGCTTGGTGAAAAGATTCGACCTTGAATCACATAAGAAAGTTCTTTCTCCCTCTCACTTTCTGTTTGTCCACTATATCCTTTCCTCTTTCAGCCTGGTCGACTAGATCATACTCCCTCCGGAAAAAAAAACACTTTGTGACTTCCATACGTCTGCCAGTGTGAATTGAGCTTCGAACAATCAAGCAATGGTGACCCCTAGTGAAATGCAAACGGCGGCAACTTCTTTTGCATATTAGTGCACATAATGTTACTTCAAACAAGTACATCCGCTCATTGTCATGAAGTGATTTTCTTGCACTGAACCAAATCTATGGAGCAAGATTACTTAGCATGTTGGTAAAACAAAGTTGCGAAATTTTCGTTTCTGGAGGAAATAACACCAAGCAGCTCGAACACACAGAACAGGAAAGGAGGACTTCTCACTTACCCGATGCAGTACTCCAGCCGAATGAATGAACTGCACAACAAAAGGCAAAAAACACAATATGACACCAGTACAGCACTTGTACAAGTATACAGAATGGCATAGGACCACGTTGGTGGTGGGCCTGATCTACACACCACCCACCCCTTTAATTAAGAGCAGCATGTGCAAAATGATCCTTGAGGGTGGTGGCATTCCCGTGGTTGCATAAAACACAGTCAAGCGAACTGTGATCTATGTAATCTAATTTATAGTATGCAGCCATGGTGGATTAATGTTGCCGAGCAGGAGATTCAAGCCGAGTAGACTCCTATCCCGGCCTGAATGCTTGAGTCCCGCATGATGGAACAGAGCATGATCATTATCGAATACTCCGTAGTCATGGCATGACTTGCGAATCATCGCGGCTCTAGATTGAAGTCAGTTTGCAACTACGGAATTTCCAGCGTAGTAGCACCCACGGTCAATTGGGCACTCACTACTACTTGGAGTGAGGGTAACAACGAAGCAGCTAACGAGGTTTACGCACCCTGTCGGGCAATAATTGTGAGATTTACCATCTCACCCCCGGCGTCGCCAGGTGCTGCATCTGCCACCATGATAAAATCAGGCATGGTGGTGGCCTGGCACGAGCAAAACTTCCTACAAGCTGGTTGTATTTCTCTGAGTTTCTCAACATAATTGTATAGCCAGTGGTAGCGCGGACGTACACACAGTCAACTTTGCGTATAACGACACTCGGCGGGGCATCAGAAAAGTGTCCTTATTCGCGAAGTGTCGTTATACCCGAAGTCTCATTATACGTGTTACAGTTGGATGGGACTTTGCTCTGGGCATGGAAATTCTGCCGTTATTCGCGAATTGTCGTTATATCCAGTCGTTATGAGCGAAGTTGACTGTGCTTTACTGTACTTGCTTCTCACCAGAACAGACCAGTGAGACTAGTAGAGTGCATATGCCGGTGACAGTGCCGTACAGACAACACCCGCCAGCAGCTACGTTACTTTGACTTGTAATGATAGGATACTGAGCTCATCGCAGCGTGCCGCTGTGACGGCCTGGACCGCAAACTCTGCACCGCGCACCCCAGACACATGAAATGGCCGTGTGAGGAGATCGGGACGGAGTGAACGTGCACCAGCCCTCCTGCTACATGTTCATCATTCTCACCTAAACCTTCAATGTTACTCAAACTCGGACTCAGACATGCCTATCGCAGAAGCGATGATAGCGAACAGCTATGTTAGACATAGCAGCTAACTTGCGCTGGTATTACACCAGTCAACAGCTTGCAAGACTGTTGAATTGACCGCCACTAATTTTAGCCTGGTCTACACCGGCCACATAGCTGATAGAAGTGGCTTTTTCTGGCCGGTGAATCCCTATTTTTCTTTTTTTTTGTGCTATATATACAGGGGATCATTACTGATTCCTAAGATCTGCACTGGGAGTTGGCAGGTCATCCATCAGCGCGTGTGAACCAACTCACGTTCAGTCCGCGGAGAATCTGATAGGTGATCAACTGGTAGGCCGGCGGTTCCAGGGCCTGGGCGGCGATGATGCGGTGCAGGTCAGTCGGCATGTATTCCATGACCAAGTAACTGCAGCCACACACAACCAGAGTCATGCTCAAGAATAGCATTATCCGCTGTCATGTGCAGGAAGGTAACATACCACATCCACATGATTCAAGGCAACATTGATTGAATAATGCTTGTAGCCAAAGACTACGATTTTTCAAAGGTGTAAACAGTCAGGGAAGTGAACTGCCTGGAAAGAGAAAATTGTAACCCCGCCAGGACTTAAAACTGGGACATTGCTTGTAATGAGCAATGCTCTAACCCTCTCAGCTACAGGACCAGGCCGAACCAAGAAGCTGCTGACAAGTTGTTTCTATACAAATGCAGCTGACAACACGTGGCATATGTTCTGTTGGCACCAAGGTATTTTCCCTCCCCCCGGGGAACCAACCATGGCCAGCTTCTGGAATATACTAGCAGAAGTCAAAGAAAACACATACAGTATGATAGTACTAGCATATGCCCATTGTTGAAGCGATGGCGGAGAACAAGCTATGTTACACATAGTGAAGTGGATCTTTCTGGCCATTGAAACCCTATCTTTGACTTCACACGCACACGCACACACACACACACACACACACACACACACAAACACACACACAACAAACACACACACACACACAAGCACACACATAAGCTCAAGAAACATAACCGGGTCTCACATGTCTTTGAACGTCTCGGCTGATTGATTTGGTGTGAAGACGTCCAACAGGCGAATCACCTACAAATGACAGGTATAAAGAAGTCGACAGAAAACGACAGACAGAGAGACACATAATCACACCGAACATGCAAACAACACCAAACACACACACAAAGGCGCGCGCGCACACACACACACACACACACCTGGTCCTGGTAAACACTGCCATTACGGTCACGTGTCCCCTTGCAGGGCCGACAATATGGAACGACGAGTGACGGCAGTCCGCTGAGAGAGAGGTACAGGTCAGGGACTCAGGGATCATGTTTGAGAGAGCCATCTCTGGCAGCTATGGATCTGGCTTATCATCGGAAACGATTCCTCTCACGGCTGTGGCTTGAACTGGTCCATCACTCTCCACAACAGGGCGAATATTCCATGAGCCTATGCTCAGAGTCGTTCCAAATCGTCGTCTTCGAGCGGTAGTTTGCTCCACTCGCGGGCTTGCAAGGCCTCGCGAAGGACTCCGAGGTGGGGGCGACGAGGAGAGTGTTGGCATTGTACCTATCCGACCAAGTCTCCTGTCGATGAAGACCCTACCTCAGGCACTGTTGGCCTGGACGGCTGGGGACACCTCAGGCCGTCCACAACGGCGAGAACAAGCACGGGTGGAGGCCAGAAACACACACACACACACACACACACATACACCTTCTTTTTTGACCTTTTGACGCCCATCGCCAGAGGCGATGATAGCGGTGCTACAGCAGAAGCCATAGCAACTTGTGCTGGGATTGCACCATTAAATAGCTTGCAAGGCTGAAGAATTGACCGCCACTATTCAGCCTGGTCTACACCACACAGCTATGAAGTGGCTTTTTCTGGCCAGCGAATCCATAACACACACACACACACACACACACACACACACACACACACACACACACACACACACACACACACGTTACTAGAATGACTATACATTAAACAATACGTGTGCTTTACCGTATAGTGTAGACAAGACACAGACTTACATTTGACTGGTCACTGCGCAGGTGAGCGAGCAGCTGAAGCTCTCTGTGAGCACGCTTGCTGTGCAGTTTGGAGTCGAGCGGCCGATATAGCTTCTTGATGGCAATAGTTTCGCTTGTGGAGTGATTGATCGCAGAGCTGTGTCGAACAGTGCGACAAACGGAACAACAAAATATAATTTCTATCCGTAGGGTGGTCATCCGAAACCTCACACACCATTTAACATTCAATGGTCAGAATTATCACTTTCTAACTTAACTTCGAAGTAGTATTGACTTACATTGATTGTTGCCATACGTAAGCAGTCAAATACTCCTGCATATTTCACGCTTAGGGCTACGTTGACTGCTTATACGTTGACTGCTTAAATTTGACTCCTTTAAGGGATTGAACACATGCTTTGGTTTGTTGTGATAAACCCAATACTTGTACAAGTATTGACTTTGTTTTAGGTCAGTATATGAATTGTACAACCTGGTAAAAGACCTCGGTTTCGCCTCGGTCTTTTACTCGGCTTTTATTTCCTATATTGACCTAGTACTCAGTCAATATTAGATACACAGATCCTAGTGCCTTTGAAAGGTCAAAGGCTGCTGTTTACCGTAAATAATAATTCGAGGGGACTCGATGTTGCGCACACATCAGAGAGGTTTATAGACCACTGTGTGTATACAACACCATGACATGCACTTGTGAAGCAAGACAGGAATGAGAATCAGTAAGTTATTGGGACAGCGGCGTCATGTGATGTTTCGACAGACAGCATAGCTATTTCAAATTTGGACTTCATGGCTTGCAATTGTTGGGTTTCGGAGAGAACAGAGCAGTACGTGGCATGTGGCCTCTAATTTCCTAACACAGCATAGCTGGAAAGACAACAGAGACTTCAGGTGCAGGCTCATGCCATCTATTGACTGGACGCAGGCAGGACAGACAGTATGGGAAATCACTGAACAAGCAACACCCAGACTGATCACGATTCATTCACGAGTCATAAAATTTTGCGGATAGATGCACCCATAATAGTGCAGGCGTGCTTTCACACACGCTACCGACCGTGGTGAAAGTAGAGGCGGTAGGAATTGCACCACTTTTCATCCCAGGCACCCTGCAGATTACAGAAATATTCGAACAGGCGGCGAGGTGACAAACGTTTAAGGATGGCAATAAACAGAATCAGTTGAAGCTCTCCAGAATTTGTTCGGGACATCTCAATAAAACGTTCGTGAAATGACGCTTCAGCTGATGCTGTTTATTGCCATCTTAAGATTACAGAAATGTGATTATTTTGTCTGTATGATTGCAAAATATTCGGGAAGAGCCCAATGACAATCCATTAAGGTACACCTCCGATGGCTGACCGTACCAACCGGCAAAAAATACCTTCCGACGTCCCCTAATATGATAAGTATGGAAAATACAATTGACCCACTACAAAGGGGAGGGAGGGCCTAGGGGATAGGGGTGGGGTATGGAATTTTTTGTACTAGTAAATGATTTCTGGGGGGGGGGGGCTTACCATACTTGGCCATAGGAGCCAGCTCCCACTAACTTGAGATTTCCGTAGCTATCAGGAACGTCCCAGTCTGTGTTATTTATGCTGGTCCGCACGAACCTGCGTCCTCTTCCCAGCCTCGTCCCAGCTCTGCACCTAGTGGCCGACTGACCATCAGCACTGGCTTGCCCACCTGCTTGCGACGCAGCATGTTCAGATGAAATCACATCGCTGTCACACGGCTCTCCTAGCCCCGTACATTGAATTTGTGTCGACTTCACGGCCACTGCACGCTCTCCCCCGCGCCCGCAATCGGTCGAGTCCGCTTCGCCGTCATTCCGGCACCGGCTCTCCAGATATCTGAGAATAGACGCTCCCAGAAAGGTCAAATGGAACATTGCAGCTCGGCGTCGCTCGTTCTCCACGCAACTATTAGCACTGCATAGATACGTTGCATCTTTCAACCCGCTAGTCGATTCTAATCCGCGTTTCTTGGCAAGCTGCTGCCATGTATTTGTGGATGATGAAATACGAGCCAGCTAGCTGGAGACTGGAGAGAAAACATTCATTCAAGTAAAATGCTGTGGACGGTGACATGTAGATCTACTGTCTGTAAGTGTAACGACTCGGACTAGGACTAGGTCATCTAGGTTGGGGAAGCTGAGCATACATGTCCATCATTACACTTGGTCCATTGTGCTGTCACTAAATAATAAATTACTGTCACCTGGTCGCCGAGTGGCAGCTGCTTTTCCTAGTTTAAAAGGAGAATGTTACTTACAACTGCCTTGAACTGGGATTTCGGAAACAGGATGCGCATATGCATGCATGCATTGCATACCACAATAATAATGTACACAAATGAAGTAAAAAAATTACATTAAATTTTAATAAAAAAATGTGCATACAAGTACTGCACTGAGCTGTTAGATTGACGTCATGACAGCATTAAGCAAGGTGGAGGACACTGTGTTCGGAAACAGTGACCTTGCTACAGTCAGGCCTCGCTTATCCGGTCCTCTTTCATCCAGATCCCTCGCCATCCGGAAGAAAATCGCTGGTTACTGATTTACAGCATATGCCATGCATACATACAGTATGTGTGTTCGATTATCCGGTTTCCTCGCCTATCCGGATATTTTTCGTGGAAAACGGATGTGTGCGGTTATGCGAGGTCTGACTGTACAACATTCCGCGGTTGGCAGAGCCCCAGTCCCTGCGGACCATTTGAACCATATGGGTGTTGAACCCGGTTCTGACCCTCATTATGCTAGGGGAGTTTTTTTAGACTTCTCCTTACGTCCGTTCGTGTATTCTTTGATCGCTCCTGGATGTCGTCCTGGTAGTCATGTAGCTACTTAGACCTGAACTTTTTTCTTAAATCTTCTTTTCTTCCAACTTCTGCCCATGGCGTCCTACGTCCTTCTCTTAGCTCGTCAGCTGTCAACAGTTACTGCCACCACCATGACACTGTCGCGAGAAGGTGCTCTCTGTAGGGGCTGGTGATGTCCCGACGCGGCCATGGGCAGGCCTTCACCACGTCGGAACACCCCGGCTACACGTTGGTCACGTCAACTGTTTTGGTGAAGGCCTACCCATTGCCACGTCGAGCCCTGTGATGAGAAAAGGGACCAAATGGCATTTTTCACCTAAAGTGAGCTTTTCGCATGTCCTGAAAGCTGGTGTTACACAGAAAATCATGCAAAAAAAAGAACTGATTTATCTCGATTCCTTCCAAAGTTATGCATATTTTTACAAGTCGGTATGCATGCATTTTTGTAGTCATGCGAAGAACGAATCATACGAAAATGGAAGGAATATTGTGATGACTTGTGTTTGCATAATTCAGGCTACACACAGCCTCTGCTATTTGTACTGGCAGTTGAAGGTGAACTTGAACAGTATAATGCAGGTACTAGACTAATAGTATCATAGTACTGTGTCATGTGCACACATACAACACAGCATCCAACAGAAAAGAAACTGGAACAATTACGCACCGTGTTCACTGGTTGAGGGAATGGAAAAGGGAAAAGTCTGAAGAAGAAATTGACTGTCACCACCAGCAGAAAGTGTGCAACCAAAAGCAGCTCAACCTAGAATACTGCAACCTCACTGTTGCATCAATCATCCATTGCAGCAGCAACACCAGACTGAGACGAAGTGCTGGTAGCTTCTGGCAGCGACGGCTTGGGGCAGAGCTCATCCTGGAATTGTTCCAGAACGTGAGGGCGAATCTGGCTGTAGAGATACTGCTGCCGTTGTTCTGACAGCCCAGCTGGTGGTAGCACAGGTGGCATGTCAGCAGCAACTAGGGCATCCTTTGATGTAGTCGGCAGCACTATCTCTTTGTAGTCGTCTTCCAACGCTGCCTTAACGCTGACGACTCCAGGCTTCGTAGCATCAAACAGCATGTGTTGAACACTGCGGATACCTTTCACTGGCTTGAAATGTTGAGCCAGAAATGCATCCCATGCTCTCCATTCCACACCAGATCCAGGAATCAGCTGTGCTACATTGCAGACGGCACTCTCATTGACCACTGCTGCCAACTGAGTCATGGTGTAGCAATCGCTCCGTCGAAATTTCTGCTTCAGTAGGCCAAAGCATCCATCGACAAGGCAACGCGTATGGCCAGTCAGCATGAATGACAACTCAATTTGTTGATGGAGGCCCATGAGGACTCTCCAGCAAAGATATGCGACGACAGTCTGGTTCTTGTTCTGGCCACCGCAGTTGTCACAGTGCAGATGGCAGCCCCTTCTCCTGCAACCCATGGTGCGCAAAGAAATGGTGGAGCATCGAAGCCACTGCATTAGGGCCATGACTGGTCTTTCCATCCAGGCCGATGGTATCTGACTCATCAATTAAATAATTTATCTGCTGTGGCACGGCTTCATTGTTAATGCCAAATATTTGGACTTTTCGAGGTGCCTTAAATATAACGGTCCTTCCTGACGTGCGGATTGAGGCAGGGCAACGTTTTGCGCAAAATCAAACGTGTAGTGTTATCGTTGCAGATCACGTGCACACGGAGTGTTTAACGATTGCTGGAGACTGGTACAAGCATCAAGCTCTGCCTTTGCATCCAGTGTGGCTTGCCTGTAATAGTCACGCCCTGCTGGGGTTGCATCATGGTGTTGCCTGAACACGTCCACTGCTGTACCCTTGTCCGCCTCTATCCGTGCTTGCTGAATATTCCTGCGATGCTCCTCACACCGCGAGCATACATCAGTACGTGGTGTCATGATCTGGATGTGCGGCAAACAGTCATGCCAAATGGACCTAAAGCTATGATAGCCAACTGCCTTTATGCCGGACTCTGACAATGAGGCCACATAGCACTTGTGCATGGACGTAATATTATTGTTGATGACGCCGGCAGGTAAGTCGGTTGTGCTCCTGCACGTCCGCGGATCGGCGCAGGCTGTGGTATGCCGTAGCGCTCGGTGTAGGTTTTCAGGAACTGCACCACAGCAGACACAGTTTCAAACGACAAGGCATGCTTGGGCTAAGTCATCGCCATCATCGTCAGAGGAAGAAACTTCTGGCACTGACAACTGCGACGACAAATCGCTGTCAGAGTCGCCACCAGAAGCGGCGACCTGCACCTCAGCACCAGGAAACTCTCTATCCTATCCAGCTCAACCAAGGCTTCCCTGAGATTTGTATCAACAGTGAACGTGGGCATGGGGATCGACATGTTGGTGATCTTGGAAGATAAGAACTAGCAGCTAGTAGTACTAGTAGTAACTTGCAAGGACAAACTGAAAAAACGAAGAACACCGTGTCTTTTCAAGTTTTCACCTCGAGGCCTCGCCAAGCGCGCGTACACTGGTAGATTTTTTTTTTTTTTTCACTGAATGACGTATAGTTTCGATAGTGAGGAAAATGTTATCAACTCCAAAGCACGAAAAAGGCCAAAAACTAAACCAAGAACATATGCAATAACATGTTATTTATAAAGACAGGACAAGTGAATAATTAGTCAGTCCATTGCTCATGATGATCTCCGACGGTTACGTCGGCAAGCGAGCCTCCGCCACTGCCAAAGCAGCGTGGGCTCCGCAGGAGGGTGCAAATTTCAAACCAAAATTTAAACGCCTACAACCGCGAATGCACATGATACAGGATTTCAGAAGGCTGAAGGAAATCCTGCATCTAACAAATGCCATAACATGAGAGTAGTGCTCACCCCTCTTCTCAGCCAACAGATGAGCAATTCGTATGTACAGTGCTGTTGATGCTGGACCCATTCCGCCACTGGCTGACATGACCGCCGGAACAAAGGAGGCTTGCTCAACCTGCCTCACCCGCTCCTCATAGTGCCTTCTCTTTTCTTTTTCATGTCGCTGATACACAATAGTACGTGGTGCAGATCGATTTGAGCGTGAGTGAGGATTAAAAACCCGTATATCAATAAGTGTACGCTCAAAACGACTGCCCCACAAACCATTGGCAGCGACATCCAACCGGGCACGGTCTTCCACATTTGCGGTCCGGTAGCGAAGACGCTCCCCCGTCAGCGGTTGCAGCAAGGGCTCGATGGACACACTGGTGCACACCTCGTCCAGCAGCCGGGCCGTGACGTCCCGAATACCATTGTGTCTAATGGAGGGAAACCCTCCATAGGGGCACGACAGGGAATGCGCGACAGTTGCCTCTTGGCCGCAAGAGCAGTGTGACGGTACCCTGGCCGGTGTCCATCCGTAACGGAGGCAGAGTCCGTCCCAAAACTCTCCCTTTGTTAAATTAAAATGATATTTCTTTTAAAGTGGACGGCACGTCAGCCAGCTCGACGAACCTTTCTCCTTCGTGACGTCTATGACATGTCGTAGCGACTCCGACGCACTGCCCGATATCGCGTCGAATTCCAGTTTCTGATGACGTCGAGAAGATGCCTTGGCGTCTCTCTTGGCCGATCTGATTAACACTACCGAGTCACCGATGGAGCCATCCCCTGACAAGATTCTCCGAGACAAAGGGCTGGTCACCCGAACCGACGAGTCGTATTGTTGGCATAGGGACACAGGGTTAATCAAACCGAGCCCACCCAGACGACACGGCAAAGCCATAAGCCGTCGGAGGGTGTCGCCTGGGGGTGCACGGCAAGTTAAGGCGGGAATCAGTTCAGACTTCACAATGTCCTCCAGCGGTTGGAACATGGGTTCGGGTACCTTCATGGTACGACAGAGGAACGCCCATCTACCCCTGAGGCCCGTCACATACACAGAATACGCAGCCTGCGGCTGGGTTTGTGCAAATACTGCTAGCTTCTTCAGTTCCCCCATCCATTCGTCCACCTTTGTTTTGATATAGCTTTGAAGAAAGCTGTCCCTTCCGATTGCTGCGCCAAGATATCGTGATCCCTCGTCCGTTATCATTACACCAGTGTCTCGAAACAATTCAGTCGCCTCCTGGTAACACCTTTCCTTGACGACAAGGACCGATTTCTTTGGGTTTACGTAATATCCATATGCCGGTCCTCTCTTGTCCATTATGTCCCACCATAGACGGAGTCTGCGAAGACGAGCAGCAGCGGATGAATCGTCCGCGAACCATGACTGCACCGCACCCGCCTCATCCGCCAAACGTATCAAGGGCATTATTCCCAACGCGTACATGTACATTGCAAGGGGATCACCCTGTGTTGTCCCTTCTTGCGACAGGATACTTTCACCGTCCACGTAGAGATGAGCTGGATCACGGTAGGTATTAATAAGAACGGTAGCAAGTGATGGACACAAGTGCCGAACATTTCTTAAAGGGGAAGTATACCCTAAAATCAAATTTTCACCAGTTGTAGTCTTCTGGGTGCTGAGTCGAATGGTCTTGGTCCGAGGAAGCTGCGACGCTCCCTTCCTACTTGAATCCCAATCGAACTCGCGCACTTCCACCGAAACTGGGTGACTGCGCCCTACGAGATGGGGATTTGTATGCAAAATGTCACTAAAAGCGCCATTTCGTTCTTATAAAAGCACGGATGACCGCGATTGGCCCATATGTTGTAGTCTTTTGGACGCCGAGTCGACTGGTTTTGGTCCGAAAAGACTGCGATGCAGCGTTCCTCCTTTATTCCCAATCGAACATGGTTGAACAAGCGGTCACGTGCTCCTGGGTGCCCAAATCACCTGGTCACCGCGCCAGCAGGCGACAACTTTCACACCAAGGTTCAACTCGGGTTCAACTCGAGTGACAGGACTGTACCCAAAAAAGGTCAAACAGGCTAGTAAGTTGTACCCTGCAGGCACGGTGACCAGCTGACTGGTGTACGCAGGAGCACGTGACCGCTTGTTCAACCATGTTCGATTGGGAATAAAGGAGGAACGCTGCATCGCAGCCTTTTCGGACCAAAACCAGTCGACTCAGCGTCCAAAAGACTACAACATATGGGCCAATCGCGGTGATCCGTGCTTTTATAAGAACGAAATGGCGCTTTTAGTGACATTTTGCATACAAATCCCCATCTCGTAGGGCGCAGTCACCCAGTTTCGGTGGAAGTGCGCGAGTTCGATTGGGATTCAAGTAGGAAGGGAGCGTCGCAGCTTCCTCGGACCAAGACCATTCGACTCAGCACCCAGAAGACTACAACTGGTGAAAATTTGATTTTAGGGTATACTTCCCCTTTAAGCAAGTCTGTCGATTTAGTCTGTTGAACGCATTACTTGCATCCGCCATCAGAATTCCTTCGGTGTCATCCAGCTCAAAGGCCTGCTGCATCGCATGTATTCCCGCCTCTATACCGCAATCCTGGCCAGCGCATAGCTGTATACACCCAACCGCCTCCTGAACGGCTTGGCCTACGACGGAGAGGATGGCCTTGCTTATAATGCGTCGAGCGACCTCACCTATTCCAATCGGCCGGACACCGGGTTGCTTGTCCAACGCTATCAATCTGCACGCAGTGAAAGCCGACAACACTGGTAGATCTACACGCGCTCGATCTCTAGCACGCGTGGCCGTGAGCCGATTTCTATGATCGAGATATCTACGGAAAGACCAGGCCAGCAGCTGCCTACTCGTTTTTACCGCTTCGAAATACAAAGAACCATTCTGAAGTTATTCTAAATCGAAGCGAATGCTGTCAAAAACACGCAGGTTTTGGCGTACATGTCCTCACTTTCAAGTGCGTGTTTCTCAACTGAGTCTGTCAGCTCGCTACGCACTTGGTCCCTTTTCTCACAGCCTTTTTGTGGATATGGTCACGTGACCCACTGAACCTGGATAAGAAGACCACCTGGCCAAGGCGACCACTTTTCTCGTCCCTTGAGGGGTCGCCTTAGACAGGTTTCACCGTTCTTGCGTGCGCTACGCCGTCAACTCCAGAAATGGCATACTCCGAGTCGAGCCTTGCCAGATATTTTGACGCCGATCCGAGTCGTGCTGTCGTTTTGTCTGTGACACTCAACTCATGCTTTCATAATCCTCGCACATGGTAAAGTAGAATCGACAGGCTGTGTATGTGAATGATTTTGTTCATCTTCTCTGACGGCAAGCACCAGGGTAGGCCAACGCAGGTCGATAATGCTTCTATTTTCAATGTAGGGTCGAGGCTCGTCGAGCAGGTATCGATTTAGAGATTGAATCACTTTCTTGGACGGTTGGTACCGAACAGTTTCCTTCGCCCAACACTTGTAGCCCGGTGTAGTTCAGTCTTGATAGATTTACTCGACAGGTTTGGGTTCAACGACTAGGAATAGACTGGTGGACTGGATCGTTGTTGAACGGTGCGCTATAACAGTTCCACCTACCGGTGCTGCACTTTGACATTGTTGCAACGCCTCGATCGTGCTGCTTTTGATTCTTGTTCGCTGAGAAATGAATGTTGGCGTTTGTTGACAACGCTAGCTGGTAGAACCTCAGACAGAGACAGAGAGGGCCTATGTGTGCACTTGCGCTGGTAAATGAGTGACAGAGTCACCTCACTTGGAGAAGGCACGAAGCTGTGAGACTGAGAGAACTGCCGTGCCGTCGAGGCGTTCTGGGGCCAGCAAAAGCACGCTTTGATCCCACGCAATCAGTTTGTGAACTGGTGCGTGCAGCACTGACGCGACACAATGGTGGAAGTTGTGCATTCGGTAAGTCTTGTCATAGAATCGTTAAAGTGTCCCACTGCCGTGGGGCTACTTTTTCAGCTAAATACCACCTGCACATCTTCAACAGGATTTTGTTTGCTGCTAATTCCCCCTTAGGCGTGGATGCCTGATGAGTTGTTTTTCATTTTTTTACACATACATGCATTTCAATTTACTCAATCTACGGATAGCTACAGTCAACTTTGCGTATAACGACACTCGGCCGGGCATCAGAAAAGTGTCGTTATACCCGAAGTCTCAATATATGCATACAGGTAGAATGGACTTTGCTCTGGGCATGGAAATTCTGTCGTTATTCGCGGATTGCCGTTATATCCGCAGTCGTTATTAGCGAAGTTGACTGTAGCTGTTTCAACTTTGTTTGAGTCTGATAAGCGGAGCGCAAAGCGACTGGCCAAGTTGATCGCAATGAGATCCAGTGAAAAACACAGCATTTTAAAATTATATTCCTGTTGAGCAGCCTGCATTTCAAACATTATCCTGCAGTCAGACCTCGGTTAACCGCACACATCCGTTTTCCACAAAAAATATCCGGATAGGCAAGGGAACCGGATAACCGAACACCGGTTATGTTGGATGCACCGCGTATGCTGTAAATCTGTAACCAGCTATATTCTTCCGGATGGCGAGGGATCCGGATAAGAGAGGACTGGATAAGCGAGGTCTGACTGTAGTAATAAGAAGCTGTGAAACAAACTCAAAGCGTATTGCTACTGGTGCTTGCTGCCCTCTCTTGAATAGTGCCCCATCTGTGATGGACATTAAAAAATGGTCTTGTCGGGAGCCTATTTTTGGGGAATGTTATGCCATGGTACTCTTTCAGTCCTCACCCTGTATCTCTCCCTCTTTCTCTTTCTCACTCCCCTCCATCCGTTTCTCTCTCTCTCTCTCTTATTCTTTCTTTCTTTCTCTCTTTCTTTCTCTCTCTGTCTCTCTGTCTCTCTCTCTCTGTCTCTCTGTCTCTCTCTCTCTCTCTCTCTCTCTCTCTCTCTCTCTCTCTCTCTCTCTCTCTCTCTCTCTCCGTGTATATGTAATATTCCTGTTTAACAGGGTGCTCTGGAAATATGCAAATCGATCTCGACAAGCAAAGGATGGGTGAAACGCTTGTTTGTCCTGAAGCGGTTCCATTCAAGCGGCACAAGTGCCCTGGAATACTACAAGGACACCAAGAAAGATTTCAGGAAACTGGAACCCAAGGGTGTCTTGAACCTCATCGACAACTATCAAGTAAGCAGAAATGTGCTGTACTGCATTATGACAGTCATACTTCCTCCGCGTCATCGAAATTGTCGCAGTTTGACTTTTGATATAAAACGGGGTATTTACTCACCAGCACTCGTACCAGAGGCAAGGAATCGGACATAGGCGATAGTCATCAGTATAGGGTGACGGCAAAGTTCTATTTTCTGTTATTGGAAGCTGAAATTTTTGAACTAGATGCAATTTCTTCGCTGATGTCGCTGCGATGGTAATTTCGACTCGCTGGGATCAGTCAGGCGTTGCAGCCTGCACATTTCTCGTGCTTATGGCCATTCACTCAAAGCCTCATCACTGTTTTACCTTAGCTGGGGTGAGAATGACTTAGTGGAACAAGTGGCAGCGCTTGGAGAAACATCGAGGGGTCAGTAAACTAAATGCATGCAACAGCGATAATAAAAATGTCGCTCTGGCTGAGACACTCAGTACATGATTGTACCTGCAAGAGCCGTGTAGACTCTACACGTAGTGCTAGTGATGCACGCGCAGGTGCCGTACCAGTAGGGAGGTTCTGCTATACGTGAAACGTACAGAAATCACGTAGAGAGCAGGTGTCTGGGTTAGAGTCTACGGCTTCGCGTGTTTTGGCTCCAGATTTCTACGCGGAGATGAGGTTCTCTACGTTGTGGCACACGCAGAGAAAATGCATACGGGTCTGCCGAGTATCGCTCAACTGCAGGCAGAAAACTGCCGAATATGGGAGGGGAAAGTCCCAGTACACATTTCATGTGATTTCTCTACGTGAACGTAGAGCAGAACAGCTTTTGTTTACGTTACGGGAACACGAAGAGAGTTCCCGGGCCTACGTGATTTCTCTACGTTTCACGTATAGCAGAACCTCTCTAGTGATGCTGAAAAAGACGGCGTGCTGGACGTGATAGTACACTTACCTGCATGAGCTGTGACCACACAGCTAAAATAAATGGGCATACCACGGCTAAAATAAGTTCATTTCAAGATCGACGTGATTCCGCCGACGGTAATCAACCGACCTCGCAACGATCGTGTTTTCTTACTTACTTCGTTGGTGGTGAAGTAGAAATCATCCAGAGCTAGCAGACGACAAGCATAGCAGCTCTTGTTCTGTGGAGAAAGTCAAAGCGTTTGAGATGAGGCGCGACCAACTTCCAACCTTCCTTGAAATATTTCGGAACGATATTTTTGCGTCCAATGACATCAGCAACGACGAGGCCTTTATCTCTGCGTGAAAACTCTCAGTCCAACTGTCCTGGAACGTGACTCGAGCCTTCAGACTATCATACTGTGTAATACGTTTTGAATGGTTTAGCTTATGGAGTTGTCAGTAACAAGTGACAAGTCACTAGTCAAACTGCGACAATTTCGATGACGCGGAGGAAGTAGTCATTACCACCATTGCATCATCACTGCAATCGTGCACACATACAGTGTGCTATTGCAAGAGTGCTGCCCAAGGTGAGTACCGAGTAGTTCCTGGGTGGGAACATCATTCGATTCAGTATATGCCCCCCCCCCCCCCCCCCCCCCGGACACATAGACAATACAAGACTATTTTGGCGAAAAGAATTCGCATCATTACCTGGTTCCGAAGCATACCGATGTGAATAGAGTTGGTGTCTGCACGCATGCCATCCTTCATGCCAACCTTGATTGGCTGTCTGCACTGTGGCGGTGTAGACTGTTCTTGCATGGCAGAGATACTGTAGACGTAGCTATAGCACCTTACTGCAGGTGATCAGCGGTGATGAGTGACAAGGGCAACGCACACGTTAATATGTATGCACAACTCTCAAAACTTGCAAAAGATGGTGTCCGGGGAGGGAACCCCTCTAGCTAAGTTGTCCTGCGAGCTCTCTTGCCATCAGCCAGTACTTCTTTGACAAGGTCAAAGCATGCATTGTACAATGGTAGCAACTGAGATCGTGTGTAAAGTCTAAGGGTTGGATTTCAGTTGCCATCGTCACTTGTATGTTCAAAAGCCGTCCTATGAGCAACCTCCCTTGCCCTCATCATCCTTTGTACCTTTCATTCGATTGACTGTGACTCTGAGCAGGTGGAGATCGTCAGCAGTGAGCAGGTGACCAGCTACAAAAAGCATGTCTTTGACGTGAGAACCGTGGAGGCAACATACCGCCTGGCCGCAGAGTCACAGGACGAAATGGACATGTGGGTGCGGCAGCTGCAGATGCAAACGAAACTGAAGCCGGCGTCCGATCTAGGTGAGGCGATGCCGCATTGACTCGGCTAGTGCACTAGCAATGAGTAATCTCAAGAGTACATAACACCCAAGGTCAACTGGGTACTCTAATTTCAGAAATTTTCGGTGCTCAATATTTTCGGTATGAGAGCAAAAAGCTAGGTTAGGGTGAACAGAAATTTTCGGTACAGAGAAGCAGTTCCCTATTGGGTTATGTGTGTTAGTGTTTGTTCGGTGTATTGAAATTTTGGGTATGAAACAGACGCACCGAAAGTACCGAAAATAAAAGTACACCGAAAATTTGTGAAATTACAGTACTTTAATACTACATGTATTACTCGGAGTGCTAGTGCTAGTGCTAGTGCTAGTGCTAGTGCTAGTGCTAGTGAGGGTAACATGGATGCAGCTAACGAGGTTCGCCCCCTTTGTCGGGCATTGGTTGTGAGAGTTACCACCTCACCCTCGCCGTTAGGAGCTGCATCTGCCACCCTGGTATCACAGGCATGGTGGTCCGGGTCTGGCACAAGCGAAACTTCCTAAGCTGGTTGTGTTTCTCAATACAATGGTATGGCCGGTTGTAACGCGGAAGTGGGGACTTTTTTTACTAACATCAAATGTCAGTTTAGTGATTTGTTGTTTCACTTTCTGACTGTATATAGTATCTAGTTACAGTGGAGGACAGTTATACATGTACATGTATGTATTATTTTATAATAAGAGTGTAGAACTCCGCTTGGTTTGGCCTACAGCCGACTTTGTTGGCGTCAATTATTCTGGAGATCATGAGTCATCATGCCGTACGAGGCATGCACTGCGAGTCTGTGGCCGCGTGAACTCGGCAAGCTTTCACTGACAAAACTTGCACTACGAGTAAGCTGCAGAAGCCGGAGGAAAAGCTAAATTTTTCGTCACATAAGCGGCAAAAATGCCAATTGATGATGAAGGTTCCCACCAACTCGTCCTGCCGTGGGCGTACTGTGGAGATGGTGTCCTGTCTGTAGGTCATCACACCACACGTACCTTGTACACACATTTCACCCTGTGCTGCAAATCCGTACTCAGTTTACCGTGGAGCTCCACAGGAGAACATGCTAAGCCTAAGTGCAACCTTAGTACAATAAGGTTCTCACGCCGTACAAAGTTAGTTGCACTCCGCCATACGATTAGTCTTCCCCAGGCTGTAAAATCAAGGCGGGGCGCTACCGCGAGATGGAGCACTCCAGCGGTACTTTACAGTATGATGAGTAACAGCGTTGCTATTCACTACCGCTTGCCACCAACAATAGTCAATAGACCAGTCATGTCTGAACACCATATCACGTCCAGCATGGCATGATCAACCGTATAGACTCCGTGGATGTAATTGTACACCACATCCTTTTTTATTTTATTTTATGTGCGTGTGCATTCCCGTATACGTGTGTGTGTACTCTGTGTGTGCACGTGCATGCTCGTGTGTGTATGTACGTGCATCCCAGGCATTGCGTACCACGTGCGGCCGCAGCTGACCGAGGCCAACAAGCGCATCGGCGCGTCGGGCGAGTGCACCATGCAGATGTCCAAGGCCGGCATCAAGCTGGCCCTGCATCCCAGCGGCAGCCTGGTCGCCGAGTGGCCGCTGCAGTGCCTGCGCCGCTACGCATGCGATGTTGGCAAGTTCCACTTCGAGGCCGGCCGCAAGGCACCGCTGGGCGAGGGCCTGTACGTGTTTCAGACGCCCGACGGCGACAGCATGTTTGAAGTGCTCGACTATCTAATCAAGGCCGAGGCCGGACAGCTGGTGAATCCACCGCCGGAGCTGCAGCATGCGGGCCCAACGCCAGGCTACCACCACCTTAATCACAACACGATGACGTCGCATTCAACGCCGGCAGCCAGGCCAGCGCCCGCCATGACGTCGGCGTCGGCCGGAGCATCCACGATCTCTGCCCTGCCGCCGCCATCACGCCCGCCACCGGCTCTACCGACCAGCCCGGCCGTCGTCGGCCCAGGGAGTGGCACGCTCCCTGCATCACCAAGACTGGTCGATCTGTTGTCGTTGACGACGACGTCCGCTTCGTCGCCGCACACGATGACAACCACGGCGAGCCTGCCCAGATTCGTGCCCTGCGACAGCTCCAGCTTGCTGCAGCACCACAACAACGGAATTGCAGCACGCGGACCAGCCCAGATGCCGCCACAACCGCAGTCCGAATACAACGTACTCGATCGAGGACTCGGCGTCAGACCCCTGGGCACTGCAGCGGTGACGGTTGTGCCGGCGGCGAAGACCGTCACCAGCCCTGTGGAGAGCGACGGCGCCGTGTACAACAAGCTCAACCTGCAGCCGGCCGTGAGCATGCCTGCGGTGCCAGCGCATCTCAGCCACTCTCATTCTCAACACCATCTACTGCAGCACCAGCATCAGCAGAAGATGAACGGTCGGCGACGCAGCCACGGGGCGCTGCCGGCACCCGACACCCACGACTACCGCAACCTACCCGAGCCGCCACCTGACAACCGTCCCAGCAGTGCCATGGACGGCACGCACCCCACCGCCGCCGCTGTGTCGGCGGACGGCCACGCGTTGGGAGCAACGAAACCGGAGTGGCGACGGCTCAGCGGTCCGGAGTCGGTGGCGCGAGACTACGACGAGCTGACCAGGGACTTCCAGGACGACATGATACCGAACAAATTCTACGGCGTGCCCCTGCCCAATGCTGCTGGCCACAGCAGCCAGTCAAACCGCTGACTGTGCACGTTACCTGGGATACACACCAGATAGGAACGATATTCTAGGAATGGAGGTGTTTACATTACATAGAGCATCATTAAAATGTCTTTCAGTGTGCGCGGACGACCCACTGCACAAGCAATTCACCGTAATTGCTAATCCCCGCTATCGTGCCATCAATCTTAGATGTTGCGAAATTTCGAATATTTGAATCCCCCCTTCCGTGATGAAGCCCCAATGATGGACACCCAGAGCGTCCAAACCACTAGACATAGACTCGGTGTGCATAGTATATTCCACTGCTGTAATTTGAATAGTATACTGGTCACGTGACCCTATATAGTATTTTGACCGGTTTGAGAACTTCATCCTGACCTGGTGCTGAATTATCCGATACTACCTCCTCTATTGCTGATATTATTACGCTTCTGCTTTCAACCGGCCGTCAACATTATGGCCCTGGTGCCCGTGAACTTGCTTCTGTCCGTGTTAGCTTGAACTTTCGCTCAAACCTATAGTTATCGGCTCTGCTCTCTTGAGTGAAGAACGTCGCCCCAGTGCAGAGCTGCTCAGTGTGTACATGTGTATATTATCAGATCATCTTTTCCACCATCACATGCTTTTCAAAGACTATCATAGTATTTCACCTAGCATGCACTGGTGGTATGGTCTATTGGGTTGTGCCGTGGTCTCATCACTCCAGAACACCTGCACTGCATGTGGACGCCTTGTGTATGCTCGGCGCAGTGTGCATTTTTTACTATTTTACGACTCCCTGCACATAACAAAGATGTGACACCACTCTACTGTACATGTCTAGACTAGTGCTAAGTGATGAACCTCTGAGAAACAGCAATAAAGTTTTTTTGTAGTTTCCCTTCCCTGCACCTGCAATATTTAGTCCCTACAGCAGACACAAGACTTAGGGGCCATCCGTAATTATCGATCTTTTTCACGAAACGAAAAAGTTTCGTTTATGGGTGGGTGGGTAGCGACCGGTTTCGTTTTGAAAAACATCGAAAGCGGAAAAATCAACGCTCACTGCATGCATTGGTGCATGCATACATTGTGTACTAGTACATCGAAGTAGATCGACAGTAGACCAGACTCTACGCCGGGCGGCCAAGCAATACACGTGCTGCATGGATGCAGTGCTACCACTCTGTACTCAGTGCAGTGAGTTCCTTTCGTCCTCGGATTACTTCTCCGACGAGGACCTAGCAGTCATCATGGTCATTCACTCTGGGACCGACGACAAATAGATAAATACTTCGTTCCAGCCGCCGATGCAAGAGAATTTCAAATTACGGAGCGGGGCGCACGCCAAGGAAATTCTCACGCAAATATGGGGAGCGCCAGCCGCTGAAGACGATGTTGTCGTAATGTACCTGGAAAAATCTGATCGTGCTTATGGTGGGGAAGCCATGGAGAGTGATCCCCGTGTCGACAGTCTTCCAGAGACGGAAAATTAGGCCATCGACTTTCTACGTACCTGATTGACGGCAGCGCAGCGCGGCGTGTGTGCGACCTTAGGGAGCTTTCCGACAGCGATTCTGGGGCGATGCTGCTCTCATTTGCGAGCGAGGCACGACCACTGAAGTCTGTGATAGCTATGGCTTTTGTTTCCGCTCCGAAGTCGACTTGTTTTGGCAGTATCATGTCAATGTCGGAACTCTGACGATTTGCAAGTGTACAATTCCCGTGTTTAGACGTAGAGGTGCCAGCAGCGTATGTGTGTGGTACATGTAGGTGAAAATAAATGTTTCCATGGTCAAGAAGTAGTACCAGACTTCCAAGAAAACATAACTAACGTTGTTACTTACTTGCACAATCACACAAAATGTGGCCTCGCTGTGTTGTAACAGCCAATCAAGATCATTTTCTGCACAAAGTCTCAAGTCAATTAATTTTTTCGTTTCAGGGGGGTGGGTGGGTGGGGGTGGGTCATAACTAAACTTTTTCGTTTCGTGAAAAAGATCGATAATTACGGATGGCCCCTTAGTCGACTAGTCATGTCGCGATATGTAACACACTTTTAACCCTTTCAGCCCTGACCGGAAAATCACCTCCCACTGGGCCAAAAAAGGCATTTTTTGAAAATGCATATTCTGGTCCAAAATTGATTGGAGATGTTGGGTATGGACATATGCACTGTGAATCCAAAGAAATTTTGTAGGATTTCATTGTACGAGACTCATAACACCATATTTAGATATGCGACTTTTGGCGATTTTTCCTCAAAATTCATTCAATTAATTTAGGCAATTGACAACAAAGATCAGACAAGCAACGGCAAGCAGTGCTATAACTGGTCAGTGTTGACTTCAGAATGGAGAAATGTCATATAACAAGCTTGATATGATCCTGGTGTTCTACGGCAACCTAGACTAGAGTACAGCAACTCGTTTTATACGGCGCTTGAATCATATGCGACTGCGCGATCCAGAATGGGTCTTTCTTTTTTCTTGGGCGCCTCGTAAAGCTTGAATCCTCCAGCAGCCCTACCTACTTCAAGACAAAACCATGTGATGGACAGTGAGGATGCCGAGTAACTGGAGTAGCAACCACAGCAACTGCATCGGCTATAATAGCAGCCAGTGCAGTGGCAGCGGTTGGCTCACTGTGCTCGGCGCATCCCGGGTTGAATCATCACTGGCCGCACGCGTAGATCTACGTACGTACGCGGCACAGGTAAAGTCATATTCATAGAGAATGCAATACAGCTCATTCTCTGATTTGGACACTCACTGGCAAGACAATCCAGCTACCAAAATAGTCTGAAGCATTCCCTAAACAGCCGAGTGCATACTGCGTACCGGTGTACGTACGCATGAAAATTCAAGAAACAATCGGCTGTGCAATTTCTGATAGTGGTTCAAAATTGCACAATTGTTGACTATTCGGGATTATTCTGGATTCATATTAGATAGCAATCACCATCCTGATTCCTGTAGGTGCCTGGCTCTGTACTCAACATACAATACTTACATGTATGCACATCTCTATGGTGATCTGCATGCATGTCTGACCAGTACACTTGATTTCAAATTCAAATATTTTCAAAAATCTGACCTTCAAATTGGATCGCAGTTTTCTTGAGGAACTTCAGCAAACGGGCTCACGACAGATAGCTCCTGCTCAGAACACCATGCCTAGGTGTCAGAGACTTCAGCATCGCTTTCCAAATCTCTTTGGTCTCCAGCATCCCCTGCGTCTGAGCCAGCTGCGATCTTTTGAATAGCAGCAAATTCGCAATCCTCAGAAAACGACTCCGACACAATTTCGCTGTCTCCAGAATCATCCTCAGAGTCATTACCCGCCTCACACTGCTTCACAGGACTCCTTCCATCGACACAGAGTAGTTGAGCTACTTACCTTGCCGAGAAACAGCAGGGCAAGATGACGAAAACGAACTTGGAGCAAACCAATTATTATTTTATTTGAACGATATGCCAAAATACGCACTTCAAACTCGATGCTCGCGGCGGTTCTGCTGTGCAGACTGGCCACATACGCTGCGTACACGTCGATCAGGTCCTTCAGCCCACTGTCTGAGGAACAGTTCCAGGCCCCACTGATGTTGAGGCATCAGTACAAACGCGACGTACACCGCGGACGTATATACGTCGTCAGTGGGGCAGGTGCACACGTCATGACGTACGTATATATACGTCGACAGTGGTGAAAGGGTTAAGAGTGCATGACAAAGTCTCGTACTGGATCATGGGGACAATTAAAATTGTCCCCATGGGCCATGATCCAGTAGAAGACTTTTCAAGAAGACACACCGCCCTCGGCCAGGACAGTTCCTTTCGCCACTTTTAAAAGCTGTACTAGTGAAATCCTGTATTCGAGAATTGCTCTTTCATAGTCTGATAATAATTATTATATAGCAGGTCATTACCACTGCATAAACACCAAAATCCAAAGGGGGGAAAGCAATAAGACTGCTGTGTTGCTTCGTAACTATGGACATCCAACGGAAACATTACAAGGAAGACTATTGAGGCAGACTACAAAATGACTTTTGTGTAGCCTGGAGCCGGGTGCAGTGAGTCGAAATAATATGCTGCGGCTGCAAAGAACAGCGAGGGCCAGAATCCTGGTAGATGTGGTGCAGCGTGGCAACAAGCCCAATCCGATAATAACAGTTAGATGTATTTGTTTTTAATAATTATACTCAATGTCCTATGTACTGGGTCAATTACTGACCTACTATGTTCAGCCTGCACAGCAGAGACAAGCTAATGGATCTCAACCTATTGACACAACTAAATTCTGGAGTAGTGGTCAAGCATCGGTTTTTTCTTCAGAAATAGACACAATCTGCAAAAAGGTGTGTGTGTGTGTGTGTGTGTGTGTGTGTGTGCGTGCGTGCGTGCGTGTGTGCACTTCGGTATGTGTACAAGTACGTATGTGTGTCACGTTACGAGAGGCTGGCAGACGCTACAGCGTGAGTGGACACAATGAACTCTCTCGGGCACGGCGCCCCGTTGATGCTTAGCGTCCACGAGAACGCACTGACACTCTGGAAGCTGAACGCCTGCAGCAAACAAGAGCAGCAGGCAGCCAAAGATAGTGGACTGGTGCATCAATAATATCAGAGCAGGGCTTACACATGCTGAGAGGTCAAGGGTGGAGAGCAGGGCTTACACATGCTGAGAGGTCAAGGGTGGATGGGCTCATCAATATCAGAGCAGGGCTTACACATGCTGAAAGGTCAAGGGTGATGGGCACATCAATTGCTGTTGGTTACCACGGTAACATTTCAAGAGGAGATGTCACTTCCAGGGAGGCCTAAGCATAAATAATGTATATGTGTAGGGCCCCTTAAAGGGGAAGTTAAGGCAAAAATTAAAATTTCACCAGTTGTAGTCTTCGGGGTGCTGAGTCGAATGGTCGTGGTCCGAGGAAGCTGAGACGCTCCCTTCCTACTTGAATCCCAATCGAACTCGCGCACTTCCACCGAAACTGGGTGACTGCGCCCTACTAGATGGGGATTTGTATGCAAAATGTCACTAAAAGCGCCATTTCGTTCTTATAAAAGCACGGATGACCGCGATTGGCCCATATGTTGTAGTCTTTTGGACGCTGAGTCCACTGGTTTTGGTCCGAAAAGGCTGCGATGCGGCGTTCCTCCTTTATTCCCAATCGAACATGGTTGAAGAAGCGGTCACGTGCTCCTGCGTACACCAGTCAGCTGGTCACCGTGCCTGCAGGGTACAACTTACTAGCCTGTTTGACCTTTTTTGGGTGCAGTCCTGTCACTCGAGTTGAACTCGAGTTGAACCTTGGTGTGAAAGTTGTCACCTGCTGGCGTGGTGACCAGGTGATTTGGGCACCCAGGACCACGTGACCGCTTCTTCAACCATGTTCGATTGGGAATAAAGGAGGAACGCTGCATCGCAGCCTTTTCGGACCAAAACCAGTCGACTCAGCGTCCAAAAGACTACAACATATGGGCCAATCGCGGTCATCCGTGCTTTTATAAGAACGAAATGGCGCTTTTAGTGACATTTTGCATACAAATCCCCATCTAGTAGGGCGCAGTCACCCAGTTTCGGTGGAAGTGCGCGAGTTCGATTGGGATTCAAGTAGGAAGGGAGCGTCTCAGCTTCCTCGGACCACGACCATTCGACTCAGCACCCCGAAGACTACAACTGGTGAAATTTTAATTTTTGCCTTAACTTCCCCTTTAAGTAAACGGTCTAACGAATGGGTGGACGTTATTGCTAGTTCATTGCAGATAAAGTTTTAATTTTCAAACAAATATCTTAAAACTCAAGTACTGGAACTATGAACAAGCAAAAACTCGTTTTCCTAATCCTCACCTTCTCATTGAATTTTCCTTCCTGTAAGCAAGAACTAAAGTGGTCGAGTGAGATGATGTCACCCTCTCGCAGGCTAAACTTGTCACTGGCGTTCGCAATGATCAGCGCAAACATGCTGCCATCGGCATCCAACACCACTGCAAAGCTAATACAAAGGAACGGAGACAACCGAGGCAAATGCGTGCACGCTACCGTCATAATCATACCGTCCAGTGGCAAGACGCACACAGACATGTCTCCCTACTCGCTGTATCTGTTAACGATATCTATCACATGTACTTCGGAAATTTTATTTTCATCGCTATCAGGTTCGGCCTCATTTTCTCTGTGCTGCGCTGATGAGTTCACAAAGAACGAAAGAGCATGCTGTCCGCAGATTGAGTCGATCACATGTATACAGGTTATGCAATTACATCATCAGGTGAGATGCTTTGGCAAAGTCGCGGACTCGCGGCGCAGCTCTGCGCTTGCACTAGCGACTCACGCTACATACTAAGCGCCCATAAGAAAATCCGCTGACTCGCCCAATGAAACCATCCGCATAACCTCTACAGTGGACCTCGCGAAACACAACTCTCGGTCATGCATGATAGAGGTGTCATCATTCGCAAGTCGCCGTTATTTGTGAGATTGAACGTTCGCAGTCACATGGTCACCATGGTTACTAAGTACACAACCTACTCGTCAGAAGGGAGAAGACAACAGAATATACAATGATAAAGCAGCAGGGAGAGTAGGAGCTGCAAAGCAAGCCTGTGCTGGTGAGGCAAGCCCACATGTCCGAAGATCACGCCGCTATTCCCGAGTAGTCATTATAACCGAAGTCGGTAGTCACGAGGTTGACTGTACATCTGCTTGCAAAGCTAGAAACACTTCCGCCGGTGATCTCACTTCCGCACCCGACAACGAACCCGGCACAATACAGTAGTATATAAAAGTCAAGACTCAAGTCTACCCGCAGGTATCGTTATGTTTGCAATGATACTCTAATTTCAGAAATTTCCGGTGCTCAATATTTTCGGTATGATGGCAAAAGGCCAGGTTAGGTGAATAGACATTTTCGGTACAGAGAAGCAGTTCCCTATTCGATTATGTGTGTTAGTGTTTGTTCAGTGTATTGAAATTTTAGGTATGAAACAGACGCACCGAAAGTACCGAAAATAAAAGTACACCGGAAATTTGTGAAATGACAGTAATGCCAGGTGCCATTTTTAAAGTAGGTTCTGAGGCCAGTTAGGGACAAGGCAACAGCGGGCATTAGAGAGCGCTGGGTGCAGACACACAGGGCTTGCAGGACCGAAAGGCAGTTCCTCACACTGTCTTGTATAACAGCCTGTCCCAGTACAGAAGCCTGTTTTGAATACGAGCCTCGTTTTCAGGATGAAATAGACGCCTAGCCCCGGCATCGGCTTCTACAGGAAAAAGTCCGGATTTGATACGCGAGGGAAGCGTGCATGCAGCGAATGAGATTTTCGGTCTTTGACCACTTTGCTGGTAGGCTGATCTGCTCACCTCCCACCCCTTTGATCTTTGCATGGTGGTGGCGTTCCTATGGATGCTGAAAACTCAGTTCAACTGAGTCTCGAGCGAACCGTGAACATTTTTATACGCGACATCAAGGTACACACACAGCGGTGGAGAGTGAAACCTGACCCAAGTGACGGTGTGCGCGCATGCCATACCGACGCGGCACACGGCCACGCCGACCTCAAGGCACGGACAGTGCAAGCGTGCACGCAACACTTGCGTAGGCCATGTACTAGTTTCAAGAAGTGGCAAAGAAGTAATAAGAAAAACGCCAATGTCCTCACTTCTGAATGCTACACTACTATTCACAGTGACTCATGAAATAATGCCCCCCCCCCCCACACCCTCCACAGCTGTTTTGGTGTGTAGACAGGCAAAAACATTACAAGATCCATAGCACTAGAAGCACACAATACATGTGAGTTCCCAGACCGTTTCAATCACATCCGCTTTCGCAGAGCAGTAGGGCATTGCCAGGGCAGTTTCAGGCTGGTCCTTACCAGGTAGACGTGCCAGGTCTCCGTCTTGAGGCGCCACACACGATGGCGGTTGGCATCTTCTCAGGAGTGGAGGCAGAAGCCGCCTCCTTGGCCTGGTCATTCGTTGCCGAAGCAGCCGTCTCCCGCTTTTTTTTTAGCTGCTCGACTTTAGCCGTGTGCTCAGCTTCTCTCTGCACACAGTAATAGATGGGGAACAGAGAACAAGAGGGTTTCATGCACGGGTGACGCGGAAAGCTGGAGACTGAGGACAAAACCAACAGGAATTCATGTTAGAATGTTGATTACGCGAAACAAACATTCGGGCCGTGTGCGTTGGTTGAATTTGGTGACGTGTTGTCGGACGATAGTAGTGAGGTCATAAGACACATAACCCAGGCAACACAGATGCTGTGCACAAACATCAGTGCCGCCTTGTCCATTGTGGCCCGCAATAATGAACAGCTTTCACCATCGGAGACTTGCACACTCTTGGGAGGTAACTGATAATAATAATACTCTTGGTACCAACTGTGTGTGCAATTCTAAATCATAGATTCTTGTTTGGAGAGAAACAAACCAGCACATTAAGCACAGAAGACATAATTGTAGTACAGTCAGACCTCGCTTATCCGGTCCTCTTTCATCCGGATCCCTCGCCATCCGGAAGAAAATCATCGGTTACCGATTTATAGCATATGCCATGCATACATATAGTATGTACGTTCGATCATCCGGTTCCCTCGCCCATCCGGATATTTTTTGTGGAAAACGGATGCGTGCGGTTATGCGAGGTCTGACTGTGATTCTAAACCACACGAAACGCGGCATCGCAGCAATAGCCAGCCCAGGCCTGCGCATTGAAACATACCTTGATAAGTGGTGTAACCCATTACTGCATGTCGTGACCGCCAGTGACAGCCACTCACAGAACTAGCAGTGTGCATTTCAAAGTCAAGCCAGCAGCGCATACTGCCACCACTCCAGTTGTAGCATTGGTTAAAGTGTATCCAGTATGGGCCAACCCGTCTTTTTCCTGGGTGCCCATTGTCTTCACTAGAACACGACCACAATTCCATTATTGCCAGGGTAGCGTAAAAAGAAAGTGGTGCGCCACTCGCTAGTTCCTCTTCGGCTGGTCGTAGCACACAGTCAGGCACACTGAACACGTGCAGTGCTGCACAACGATTCCCCAGTAGTGGAATTGTTTAATCGGCCTGGCTAGTGTCGGGTTGAGCTGCCGTGCCAAACACAAGAACGCGGGTTACTGTAATTTCACCAAATTTTCTGTGTACTTTTATTTTCGGTACTTTCGGTGCGTCTGTTTCACACCTAAAATTTCAACACACCAAGCAAACACTAACACACATAATCCAATAGGGAACTGCTTCTCTGTACCTAAAATTTCTGTTCACCTAACCTGGCCTTTTGACCTCATACCGAAAATATTGAGCACCTAAAATCTCTGAAATTAGAATACCTGCTTTTGGAGTGCACAGCACTGGTTGACAGCCAATAGCCAGCCACCAAGCTGTGTGTATTGTTTCTTCCACCAGCTTGGTTGTATCAGAAAACAAGTGTGCAAGTGTCCGAGCTCCTCCTCATATCGTCCGCGCTCACGTGAAACCTACGTGAGCGAGAACACGCACGTGCACGCATGTGCACACACACACGCACACACACGCACACACACACACACATACACACACACACACCACACACACACCACACACGCACGCATGCACGCACGCACGCACACACACACACACACGCACACACACACACACATACACACACACACACCACACACACACCACACACGCACGCATGCACGCACGCACGCACACACACACACACACACACACACACACACATCATCATTCTCTATAGTGTGAGCTAGTTTGCAGTGGATAGTAGATGGTGTGAAAATCAGAAAAAAAACTTCAAAAAAGTGAACAAAACAGAAAGAGAAGAAAGCCGAGCTGCTGATCGTTGACGTTTTAGCAATATTACCCGAACCTTGGTTGCTAGCAACACTCCAAACCCAAAGCAAGAAATGTATTCAGTACTACTAGCGCGAGTGTGTGTGAGCGTGTTTGTCATCGATTTAATGAAACTGCAAATGATCCAGGAAGAGCTGGCCGTGATCTTCAGCGAAGTGGAGCACGACTTTCAACTGAGGACAGGCACGCATGCAGGCGTGCATGCGTAGGTATGTGGTGTGTGTGTGTGTTCGTGTGTGTGTGTGTGTGTGTGTGTGTGTGTGTGTGTGTGTGTGTGTGTGTGTGTGTGTGTGTGTGTGTGTGTGTGTGTGCCATCCCAGCACAAGTTGCTATGGCTTCTGCCGTAGCATTGCTATCATCGCTTCCGGCGATGGGCGTCAAAAGGTCAAAGGTGCGTGTGTGTGTGTGTGTGTGTGTGTGTGTGTGTGTGTGTGTGTGTACATGTGTGTGTGTGTGGCGCGAACGTAGCCGTCGGAAGCCACCAAGCCAGCCCCAACCAAGAGTGTTCGTCTGTGTCTGCGGCCGCGACTTTCGCCGTCCGAATGATTTATCCCGACACAAGAACTACTGCCTCGCCTAATAGCTATCATCGCCTTCGGCGATGGGCTTTCCAAAGGTCCAAAGGTGTGTGTGGGCGCATACGCATGGATGTATGCTGCTGAACGTACAGCATTGCAGAACCAAAACAACTAGAAGACCCGGACAGAACAGGGCACTGCTTACCTGACTGCTCAAACTATAATACATGTCATTGTACTTCATTCGTGGATCACACGCCTGTAACAACACACACGCACAATGCATGAACGCGCACACACGCATGCACACACACACACACACACACACACACACACACACACACACACACACACACACACACACACACACACACACACACACACACACACACTTGTACTTGTTGCTCACTTCCAAAACTGGTCACGTGGCTCTCCCCGGGAGAGGGGAGAGAGACTCAAAAGGAATCTTGGAAAGATGGCTCAATTGGCTACTGAACCGCCCAACGGCCGACACCCCCTGAAATCCCCAAAACTCTGGGTGGACATGAAAATGATCCCACTTATGGGCTCACCACACCTCAGTAAGTGGGTGAGGACAAGGTGCAGAAAAAGGATTGACGGTATCAGGGTATCCGTCCCGGGATCCAACTGCAGTTACCCCTGCCCCCAGTGAAGGTAATACTTGCTACTAGTGTGAGTGGCTAAATCAGAGTGGATCTGATAAAAGCTTCACTAGCACCATTGATTACACAAGAGTTAATCTAGCCAGAAGCAGTCCATGGTTAACAGGTATGTATACTTCAAATAGAAAGTATATGAACCCTGTACCCAACAAAGGTGGCAGGTACAACGATACACCTTCAAGCAGCCGAGCCCGTCGGCAACAAACCCAACACTATCTGGTATAAGTGTACCCACCAACCGAACTAGCTGGCACACACACACACACACACACACACACACACACACACACACACACACACACACACACACACACACGTGCATACATGCACATGCGCACCCGCGGGACTCACTTCCTTCAAAATTCCTTGCCTAGCTTGCCTTGCTACATACTTTCGTTCGAGATCTGCGGGAATGCCTTCCCGTGCTCCATTCTTCCATCTGGCATGTCATAATACAATCTCTCACACATGGAGAGCCCAAGTGCTAACATTAGCTGTTCGATATACCGGTAGCAACATACCCTGACTTTCAGAATTTGCCAGCGGAAACGTTTTACCGTTGTGGCTGCTGCAGCGGAAACAGCATTCCGGCAGTAAAAAAAAGGTGCTCAGCCTGGGCGTAGGGGGAAATCCCTTCTCAGTGCCACGGTGAGAGCTGCACAAGTAACGTTAGTTCACAGGTAGTG